GTGCTGGGATGATAGGAGTGAACCACTGTGTGTGGGTGCTGGGATCACAGGAGTGAACCACTGTGTGTGAGTGCTGGGATCACAGGAGTGAACCACTGTGTCTGAGTGCTGGGATGATAGGAGTGAACCACTGTGTCTGAGTGCTGGGATCACAGGAGTGAACCACTGTGTCTGAGTGCTGGGATGATAGGAGTGAACCACTGTGTGTGGGTGCTGGGATCACAGGAGTGAACCACTGTGTGTGAGTGCTGGGATCACAGGAGTGAACCACTGTGTGTGAGTGCTGGGATCACAGGAGTGAACCACTGTGTGTGAGTGCTGGGATCACAGGAGTGAACCACTGTGTGTGAGTGCTGGGATTACAGGAGTGAACCACTGTGTCTGAGTGCTGGGATGATAGGAGTGAACCACTGTGTGTGGGTGCTGGGATCACAGGAGTGAACCACTGTGTGTGAGTGCTGGGATCACAGGAGTGAACCACTGTGTGTGAGTGCTGGGATCATAGGAGTGAACCACTGTGTGTGAGTGCTGGGATCACAGGAGTGAACCACTGTGTGTGGGTGCTGGGATCACAGGAGTGAACCACTGTGTCTGATTGCTGGGATCACAGGAGTGAACCACTGTGTGTGAGTGCTGGGATCACAGGAGTGAACCACTGTGTGTGAGTGCTGGGATCACAGGATGTGAACCACCGTGTGTGAGTGCTGGGATCACAGGAGTGAACCACTGTGTCTGAGTGCTGGGATGATAGGAGTGAACCACTGTGTGTGGGTGCTGGGATCACAGGAGTGAACCACTGTGTGTGGGTGCTGGGATCATAGCAGTGAACCACTGTGTGTGAGTGCTGGGATCACAGGAGTGAACCACTGTGTCTGAGTGCTGGGATGATAGGAGTGAACCACTGTGTGTGGGTGCTGGGATCACAGGAGTGAACCACTGTGTGTGATTGCTGGGATCACAGGAGTGAACCACTGTGTGTGAGTGCTGGGATCACAGGAGTGAACCACTGTGTGTGAGTACTGGGATCACAGGAGTGAACCGCTGTGTGTTGTCTGTTCCTTTTCTTTGAGGACCATCTTTCTGTGTGTGAAGCAGGCTCTTACTTAAGTGGAAATGACATTCTTCGGGGCCATACTGCAGTTAGGCCCTTGCAGACCTCATACCCTGGCCTTGCACTCCCTTGGAGTCTTGCTTTGCGACACTATGGGAGAGTTGTGCGAGGCAGCGAGTGCATACCCGGCTCAAGCCTCTGCCACACACACACCGCAGCCCCATTGGACTTCAGTTACAAGACACACGTTAAAGGTAGATTACTAGAAATGATAAGATAGCGACAGCAGAACGTTAAACCAAGGCTGGGACTGTTCTAAACATGGGTCCTGTGTGATGGCAGGTGTTGTCCAGGGTCTGAGAAAGGAAGCATAGAGATCTCTAGCCCAGAAGGGGAGCCACAGCTCAGGGACAGAGCTGAGAAGCAGGGCTGAGCATAGCTGGGGGATCCCAGGGAGCACATCCACGGGGTGCAGAATGGTTGCCCCTCCACACCCTGCCCTGTGCTTCCAGCACCAGAACCCCATTGTGGGAAACAGTTTAGTCTCTCCCTTCTTGCAAAAGACTGACCTGAGTCCCAGGCCTCAGTCTCCCCATCTGTGGAGTGGGGATGTCAGGTCCCTGTTAGGCTCACTCTGAATAAAGAGACCACCTAAACAGGCTTTGTGTGAGCAACAGGGCTGTTTATTCACCCATGTGCAGGTGGGCTGAATCAGAAAAGAGAGTAGCAAAGGACAGTGTGATAGGAGTTGGTTTTATAGGTTTGGGGTAGGCAGTGGAAAGTTACAGTTCAGGGTGGTTTTTGCAAGCCAGGGGGAAGGCTGTTGTGTGTGGGGGTGTCACAAGGTCCAAGGTCCAGTGTCACTCATTGGCTTATCAGGTGAGGCAGGAACAACAGTGGAATGTTGCAAGGTTGCTTAATCAGGCATTGCAGGAGCTAGCCATTCTTCTTATTTTCTGGAGATGTACATGCAGGTCATGGGGGTCACCATGGTGTAGTCCATGGTGCAGTCAGTTCAAAGAACCTTGCAGTCCACACCCTGCCTGTCTGCTAGTGTCAAGGTGCTTTGTGAAAAGCCAAAAACTCAACAAAAATGTTGGAAATCATTGTGCCTATGAGATGGGAGAATTCCCTTGACCCCTTCATGGGACTTGCAACAGGGGTGTGGCTCACTTACTCAGCTCTCAAACCCCTTGCAGGATGGGGAGCATGCAGGCAAGCGGGTGCTGGGGCCAGGTGAGCACTTTTGGGCTCTGGCCCCATGGCAGTGTCTCCGGGTGAGTTGCAGTTAGTGCTCTTTCAGCAGTTGCCGTCCACAGACAGCTGAATATTCACCAGCTCAGCGGAGAATCAGGGTGACAGACTTTTATACCCTGCCTCTTGGTACCCAGGTTCTTGTTTGGTGTCCAGGAAGAATCAGGTCATACGACCAGTTTGAAAGGTGATGAACGTGCCAGGTGTGGTGGCTCACGCCTATAATCCCAACACTTTGGGAGGTGGAGGCGGTAGATCACTTGAGGTCAGGAGTTTGAGACCAGCCTGGCTAACATGGTGAAACCCCATTTCTACTAAAAATACAAAAATTAGCCGAGTGTGGTGGCATGCACCTGTAATCCCAGCTACTCAGGAGGCTCAGGCAGGAGAATCGCTTGAATTTGGGAGGCGGAGGTTGCGGTGAGCCGAGATAGCACTATCGCGCTCCAGCTTAGGTAACAAGAGTGAAACTCTGTCTCAAAAAAAAAAAAAAAAAAATTGAAAGGCAGTGAACGCGGAGGATTTTATTAAGTGGTGGAAATGGCTGTCAGCGGAAGGTAAGCTAGAAAGGGGATGGTATGGGAAGAAGGTGATCTTTCCCTGAAGCCTGGCGGCTTCCTGATGGGCTCCTCCCTGAAGCTGTGCTGTCCGAAGTTAAGCTGCTCCTCTCGATGTTCAGCCACTTGTGCTTCTGCAAGCTGAGGTCTGGGGTTTATAAGCACAGGATCAGGGGGTGGGGAGGCCAAAAAAGTCACGTTTGGGTGGGAAAACAGGAATAACTGTTCTCATGTAGTTTTGGAAATAGATGCTCAGTGCTGCAAAGACAAATTTTTTGAGACAAAAGATTTTTCAGCAATGCAGTTTTCAGAAAGGAAAACACACACGTTTATCCCTCACGCATTTGGGGTTGTCCTTACTGCTGTGTCTGATCTCCACTGGCTGGAGCCAGACCTCACAATCTAAACTAAAACCCGATTGGCTAATAATGTAAAACTTTCCTAAACTTTTCTAAGTAACTTAAGCAGGTAAAAGCAGTGGAGAGCTGGGACACGCCTGTGAGCACGTCCAGCACAGTTATCTTGGTGAAAGTACAAGGACACGGAATGTACCACGTGCCTGTAAGCACGGCGTGTCTAACAGCTACACGGGACAGGGCTTCACAAAGAGTTAGCGCACTTCTTCTTTAACAACAAGGAACTTTTCTACTTCCCACATTTAGCGCTAAAGTTTCCAGGCTGGAGGGTGGGGCCTTTGCCGGGGAACCGCCCTCTTCTACCTGGTATTTCTCTCCTCCTGTTCGTATCACATATGCATAAAAATATAAGCATAAATATAAAAACGTCTTCACCATCAGATCATTCCCATGATTGTCCAGATCAAGAGAAAGCCACTTCATAAAACAACCCTTTTTTCTTCACACTGTAAACGGCCCATCTGAGCCCCACAGGAAGGCTTCTTCTGCATGCTGACACTGGCTGATGCTCAACATCCATCCCCCTTCCTGGAGCACCTGGAGACCCCTGATTTCTCCCAGCTGCTGCACTCAGACCACCAGAAAGCGGCCAGAAAGGCTATGTGATTTTGGACCTGGAATCCCGGATCAAACATTCCTGTGTATGTGTTGGAATTCACAGCACCCTGGACAGTTTCCCTTTGAGGATCTGAAATCAAAAGGCCAAGATGGCAGTATGAGTTTTCTGCGCTTTCTGACACAAACTGAGTGACTTAAAACAATAGAAATGTACTCCTTGACCATCTGGAGGCCAGGAGTCCACAGTCAAGTGTCGGTTACTTCTCGGGAGCTGAGAGGGAGGATCCGTCCGTGCCCCCCTCCCTGGTGCTGATGGTGGCTGGCGATCCTTGGCGTTTCTTGGCTTTAGATGCTTCACTCCGGCCTCTGCGTCAGTCCTCCATGGCCTTCCCTTCTCTGTCTCTGCATCTCTCTTCTGTCTCTTATAAGGACACCACGAGTCACTGGATTTAGGGCCCATGAAGGTGGTCCAGGATGACCTCATCTTCAGATCCTTCATAACGTCCGCAAAGAATGTCCCCAAATAAGGTCACATTCACAGGTTCCAGAGGTCAGGACATAAACATATCTTTGAAAGGGTCACCAGTCAGCCCACTACAGCGGTGAATCGCTGACTGTTGCTTGCAGAAGTCCAGAGAATTCCACCTCTGCCCTCTCTGAACAGTGGCTGGTGGAGCCTCTCTGGCAGCGTCAGAAACAGAACAGCCCCTCTGAGTCTGTCCCACCAGAAGTTACTGGGTAACTGCTCGGACAACTTCCCAAGCATTGCCACCTGCTCTCAGAAGGGGCTTCTCTTCCTTTTCCTTCTCCTTCTTCAGTGCTACTCATCAGTCCTCAAACTTTCAAAGATGGCTGCTCAAGAAGTGAGATGGCACAGTGGGTTCTCAACGCAACACTTCTGGCTTCTGGGGCCAGGCATTTCTCTGCTGTGGGTTGTTGGGTGCATTGCGGGGTGCTCAGCGGCATCCCCAGCCTCCAGCTACTCAATGCCAGTAGCCTCCATGCCCCAGCCAAGTTACAACAGTGAAACATATCTCCAGACAGTGCCAAGTGTCCCCTGAGGAGCAGAATCATCCCCAGTGGGAACCATGGCTACCAGGAATGGTGGAAACAGCCCCACATCCTGGAATCTGAAGGAGGAACCTGTATCAACCTGCTGCGGAACCTTGTGGACGTTCTGGAACTTTCTGAGCCTTGGGTTTCCTAGTGGGGCCGTGAATACTTTCCGGGTTTATTGTGATAGTAATCGGTGCTGTATGTAAAAAGGCTATGACAAAGCAGATACTCAGTACATGTGCCATTCTAAGCTTTATTTCTGTTTATTGTCCAAGTTTTATTGTGTTTCCTTCATGTGTCATCTTCATGCGGCCTGTGCCTCGCACTCAGCCAGGTCCACAGCAGGCATTAGCTGGGCAAGCCGCAGCCTGTGCCCATACCCTCCTGTTAAGACAGGGACCCTCTGTCCCCACGTGGCCGTCCCCACCTTCTGGAGGCCTGGCTCCCTGGCTCCGGCTTTGGGATGTAAGATGCCTTTCTCTCTACACAGTGGGACAAGAAAGGGATTGAAAAGAAAACCAAGACCCTGTAAAGGGGGCTGGAGGTGCCGTGGAGGTCCCTTCCAACCCTCAGGCTGCCTGTGTCTCCCTCCCTAAACTCACTCTCGATTCTTGTTTTCAGAAGCTTGTGGGATGCCCTGGGCTGGCTGGGAGACACTCTTTCATCCTGGGAACTGGTCCTCACCCAATCATCACCCCAGACGAGCAGAAGGCCTCCAGCCAGGCCGTTTCGATGACACTGGACCTGAGCCATACCGTCTCAAACGTCCTCTGGCCACTCCACAGACTTCAGGGCAGCGCAGGTCTGTGCCTCCTGTCAGTCACTCTGTCCAAGGCAAGAAAAAAGTGAAGATATAATTGCATAGCATTGAAGAATTCCTTTAAAAAGTCCACAGCATTGATAGGTGAGGAATATTTTCTTCTTAAAATTTTTTTTTGTCTCTTACTTGCTTTTTACAGTGAGCACGTAGAACTTTCAGAGTCAGAAAGCCTTTAACTTTTACTGTAAATGATCCAACTTCTTTACCCTTTCGTGAGTCTCCAGGTTCCTGTGCGGCTTTGTAGGGCACCCCAGTCCAGAAGCCATTCCTGTGCCCACAGAATCATTTCATTGCCTGAAAAGTCCCCTGTGTGTCCCCATTTAGCTTCCCTTCCCCCATCCTGGCACCCACTGGGCGCTGTACTGTCATTACAGTCTCTGCCTTTTCAGACTACTGTCTTTTACTCGGCAATATGCATCTGAGATTCTTCCAGCGACTGTAAGAAGCCGCAGTACCCCTTAGTGGCTTGATACCATTTCTCTTATCACTGGTAACATGTGATTCTAGCTGAGGTTATAATTGGATTTAAAAATCGGACCTTGCGGCCGGGCGCGGTGGCTCAAGCCTGTAATCCCAGCACTTTGGGAGGCCGAGGCGGGTGGATCACGAGGTCAAGAGATCGAGACCATCCCGGTCAACATGGTGAAACCCCGTCTCTACTAAAGATACAAAAAATTAGCTGGGCACAGTGGCGCGTGCCTGTAATCCCAGCTACTCAGGAGGCTGAGGCAGGAGAATTGCCTGAGCCCAGAAGGCGGAGGTTGTGGTGAGCCGAGATCGCGCCATTGCACTCCAGCCTGGGTGACAAGAGCGAAACTCCGTCTCAAAAAAAAAAAATCGGACCTTGCAAATCTCCCCTTGGTTAAAGGATAGCATTCTATTGTACTGGTGCATGACAGTTTGTTACCCATGTAGCTGTTGAGACGTGTCTTGGTTACATTCAGCCTTGGCACTTATGGATAAAGCTGCCACCAACATCCATGGGCAGGTTTTTTTTTGTGGACATAAGTTTTCAACTCACTTGGGTAAATACCAAGGAGTATAACTGCTACCACTTATGGGAAGACCAGGTTTCGCTTTGTAAGAAACCTCCAAAGTGTCCTTCAAAGTGGCCTCACCACTTGCATTCCCAGTGCCAGCAGCTCTTGTTGCCTCACATCCTCACCAGCATTTGGTGCTGCGGGTGTTTTGGATTTTAGCCACTCCCATAGGCGTGAGGTGGTATTTCCTTATCTTAATTTGCATTTCCCTCATGACATTTTATATTGAGCAACTTTTCCTGTGCTTTCTTGTGGACTGAATGTTTGCGATTTCCCGAAATTCATATGTTGAAGCCCCAACCTCGATGTGACTGTATAAGAGAGGCCCCTTATGGAAGTAATTGAGGTTAATATGGACATTAGAGGGGGGCCCTCATGATGGGGCTGGTATCTTTTTAAGAGGAAGAGAGATCCAAGCTTGCTCTCTCTCCAGGACACATACACCCAGGAAATCCCGTGTGAGGACGCAGTGAGGAGATGCCATCTATAAGCCAAGAAGGGCGTTCTCGCCAGGAAGGGGGTCCTCACCAGGAAGGGGGTCCTCACCAGGAAGGGCGTCCTCACCAGGATGGGCGTCCTCACCAGGAAGGGGGTCCTCACCAGGAAGGGGGTCCTCACCAGGATGGGTGTCCTCACCAGGAAGGGCGTCCTCGCCAGAAAGGGGGTCCTCACCAGGAAGGGGATCCTCACCAGAAAGGGGGTCCTCACCAGGAAGGGCATCCTCGCCAGAAAGGGGGTCCTCACCAGGAAGGGGATCCTCACCAGGAAGGGGGTCCTCACCAGGAAGGGCGTCCTCACCAGGATGGGTGTCCTCACCAGGAAGGGCGTCCTCGCCAGAAAGGGGGTCCTCACCAGGAAGGGGGTCCTCACCAGGAAGGGCGTCCTCACCAGGAAGGGCATCCTCGCTAGAAAGGGGGTCCTCACCAGGAAGGGGATCCTCGCCAGGAAGGGGTCCTCACCAGGAAGGGGGTCCTCATCAGGAAGGGGTCCTCACCAGGAAGGGCGTCCTCACCAGAAAGGGGGTCCTCACCAGGAAGGGGATCCTCACCAGGGAAGGGTATCCTCACCAGGAAAGGGGTCCTCACCAGAAAGGGGGTCCTCACCAGGAGGGGCGTCCTCACCAGGAAGGGCATCTTCGCCAGAAAGGGGGTCCTCACTAGGAAGGGCATCCTCACCAGGAAGGGGGTCCTCACCAGGAAGGGGATCCTCACCAGGAAGGGGGTCCTCACCAGGAAGGGGATCCTCACCAGGAAGGGGGTCCTCACCAGGAAGGGCGTCCTCACCTGGAAGGGTGTCCTCACCAGGAAGGGGATCCTCACCAGGACTCAACTCTACTGGCACCCTGATTTTGAACGTCCAGCCTTCAGAACTATGAGAAAATAAATTTTGTTGTTTAAGCCACTCAGCCTGTGACATCTTGTTACAGCATCCTGAGCTAAGACATGCTCATTTGCCATCTGTATATCTTTTTTTATTTTTTTAATATAGACAGGGTCTCCCTATGTTGTCCAGGCTGGTCTGGAACTCCTGGACTCAGGGGATCCTCCCACCTCTGACTCTCAAGGTGCTGGGATTACAGGTGTGAGCCACTGTGCCTGGCCTATGTATCTTTTTGATGAGACATATTTTCAGATCCTTTGTCCATTTTTAAATAGAGTGGTTCTTTTTTCTTATTGTTGTATTTTAAAAGTTATTTGTATATTTTGGATACGTGTCTGTTATCAGATATGATGCGTTTTGCAAATTTTTTCCCCACTCTTGGCCTTGTCTTTTCATTCTTTAGCAGAGCAAAGATTTTTAATTTTAATAAAATTCAACTTATCTGTTGTTTTCTTGCATGATGCTTTGGTGCTGTGTCTGAAAGCTCATCTCTAAACCCAGGGCATGAAGATTTTATTTATGTATTATTCTAGAAGTTTTACGGTACATTTTAACAAATATATGAAAAAATGCTCATCGTCACTGGTCATTAGAGAAATGCAGATCAAAACCACATTGAGATACCATCTCATGCCAGTTAGAATGGCGATCATTAAAAAATCTGGAGACAACAGATGCTGGAGAGGATGTGGAGAAACAGGAACACTTTTACACTGTTGGTGGGAGTGTAAATTAGTTCAACCATTGTGGAAGACAGTGTGGCGATTCCTCAAGGACCTAGAAATAGAAATTCCAATTGACCCAGCAATCCCACTACTGGGTATATATCCAAAGGACTATAAATCCTTCTACTATAAGGACACATGCACACGAATGTTCATTGCAGCACTGTTTACAATAGCAAAGACCTGGAATCAACCCAAATGCCCATCGATGATAGACTGGACTGGGGAAATGTGGCACATATACACCATGGAATACTACACAGCCAAGAAAAACGATGAGTTTGTGTCCTTTGTAGGGACATGGATGAATCTGGAAAACATCATTCTCAGCAAACTGACACAAGAACAGAAAGCCAGACACTGCGTGTTCTCACTTGTAGGTGGGTGTTGAACAATGAGAAAGAACACATGGACTTAGGGAGGGGAGCATCACACACTGGGGTAAGTTGTGGGGGCTAGGGGAGCGATAGCGGGGATGGTGACAGATAACATGGGGAGAAATGCCAGATATAGTATGCACCTAAAGTAAAAAAAAATTAAAATTAAAAGAAAAATTTAACATAATCCACTTGTGTCTATGATCCATTTGAGTTAATTTTTCTGTCATGATTTTGTCTAGATTCTTTTATTTAATGGCCATCTAATTGTTCCAGCACCATTTGCTGAAAAGGATTATTTTTTCTCCACTGAATTGCCTTTGTACCATTCTCAAAAATCAGTTGACTGTATTTCTACAGGTCTATTTCAGGGCTCTGTGTTTTGTTCCATTAATCTCTATATTTATTCTCTCACCAGTACCGCAGTGTCTTAATTAATGTAGCTGTTAGTAAATCTTAAAGTTGAGTCGTGGAAATTCTTCAGCTTTGTTCTTCAGTACCATGTTTGCTATTCTAGGTTTTTTGTCTTTCTATACAAATTTTAGAATTAGTTTGCCAACCTCTAAAAATAGTTGGCTGGGATTTTTACAGAGACTGCATTGAATCTGCAGATCAAGCTGGGAAGAACTGACCTCTTTGTGGGACCCAGAAGTTCTCTCCATGTATTTAGATCTTGTTTGATTACTTTCATCAATGTCTTGTAGTTTTCTGCATCAAATCTTGGATGTATTTTGTTAGGTTTATACCTAAGTGCTTGATTCGTTTGGTGCTATGGTGAATGGTATTTTTTTCGTGACGTTTGTATATTGACCTTGTGTCCTGAGGCTTTTCTATACTTGCTTTACTTGCTTTCTAATTCCAGGAGTTGTTTTTGTAGATTCTTTGAAGTCTTTCCCATAGCCAATTATGTCATCTGTGAAAAAAAAAATACAGGCTTTTTGCTATTTCCCATCTGTTTACCTTTCTATTTCGTTTTCTAATCTTATTTTGTTAGGCAGAACTTCCTGTACGATGTTGAAAGGGAGTGAGAACCTCCTTGCCTTCTTCCCAATGTCAGGGGAAAAACATTCGATTTTGCTCTGTTAAGTTTGTTGTGAATCTAACATTTATTTACTTTTTTAGAATAAGGAAGTTCCTCTAGTCCTAGTGTTTTGAGAGTTGTTTTTTTTTTTATCATGAATGAGTGTTAGATTTTGTTGAATGTTTTTATTCTATGAAGCATGATGCTGAATGTTTCAGCATCTATCAATATAAGCATATGGTTTTTCTTATTCAGTGTGTTAATATGATGAATTACATGGACTGATTTATGAATGTTGGACCAGGCTCACATTCTAGGAATGAACCTCACTTGGTTTGATGTATTATCCTTTTTATACGTTCGTGCATTCAATTTGCTAATTTTTTAAGGATGTGTATATCTATGTTTATAAAAGATATTGGTTCCTAGTTTTCCTTTCTAGTAATGTCTTTCTCCACTTTGGGTATCAGAGTAATGTTAGATTAATAAAATGAGTTAGGAACCGCACACTCTGCTTCTACTTTCCAGAAGAAATTGTGGAGAATTGACATTACCTCTTTCTTAAATATAACATCTGGTGGAATTCACCAGTAAAATGATCTGGAACTGATAAATTCTTTCTTGAAAGGTTTTAAAGTATTGATTGAATTTCTTTAGTAAATATAGTTCTGTTCTAGTTATTTATTTACCCTTGTGTGAGTTTTGGTGACATGTATCTTTCAAGAAATTGGTTCCTTTCATCCAGGCCATCAAATTTGGAGGCATAGTTATTTGTAGTATTATGTTATTATTCTTTTAATGTTCAAGGGATCGGTAATGATGAAACTTTTCATTTCTGACACTAGTAATTTGTGTCTTCTCTTTTTTCTTGGTTAACGTCACTAAGGGTTTATTAAATTGACTGATATTTTTAAAGAACCAGATTTTTTTTTGTCTCATTAGTCTTCTCTATTATTTTTCTATTTTCAATTTCATTGATTTCTAATTTTTATTCTTTCATTCACTTTGCCCTTTTCCTTTACTTTCCTAAGATGGAAGTGAAGGTTGTTGATTTTAGAGCTTCCTTCTTTTAAATGTCTTCATTTAAGGCTGTACATTTCTTGTTAAGCACTGCTTTAGTGCATTCCACAAATTT